ACACCCAAAAAAAATTCAATAGAAAGCATCACCAACAAATTTGACCACTTGGTAGACAAAACCTCAGGCAATGAAGACAAAATATATAATCTTGAAAATAAAGTTGACCACAGAGAGATGTTACAAAACCATGAACAGAACTCCCAACTATGGGGATAACATGAAAAGACCAAATTTAAGCTTTATCGGGATAGATGAAGGTACAGAGATACAAACCAAAAGAATACACAATCTTTTCAATGAAATAATACCAGAAATTTTCCCAAACCTAAAGAATAAAATGAAAAATCAATTACAAGAAGCTTACAAGTCGCCAAATGTACAAAATTACAACAGACCCACACCAAGGCACATTATAATGAAAATGCCTAACATACAGAATAAGGATAGAATTTTAAAGGCTTCAAGAGAAAAGTATCAGATTATGTACAGAGGGAAACCAATACAGAAATCTCAGCTGATTTCTCCATCCAGACCCTCAAAGCTAGGAGGTCCTAGAATAATATATACGAAGCTCTGAAAGAAAATGGATGCCAACCAAGAATCCTATATCCAGCAAAATTAAGCTTCAAATTGGAAGATGAATAAAAACCTTCCATGATAAACAAAAGTTAAAAGAATCTGCAACTAGAAAGTCTGCACTACAGTACATTCTCAACAAAATATTCCATGAGGGTGAAATGAAGGGAAAAAAAAGTAAAAACCAGCAAAGGGAGGAACTACACTAAAGGAATATTAATCAAAGGAGAAACTAATTCAAATTAAAAGCTAGAAATAAACCCAAATGACCGGGAATACAAATATAACTTAATAATAACCAACTCATCAATCAAAAGACACAGGCTGGCAGAATGGATTAAAGCACAAGACCCAACAACATGATGTCTCCAAAAGACTCACCTCATAGGCAAAAACATCCATAGACTGAAGGTGAATGGATGGGAAAAAATATATCACATGGAACGCGTAAACAAGCAGGGGTTTCTATCCTCATATAAGATAAAGAAGACTTTAAGCCAAAGTTAATCAGAAGGAACAAAATGGACATTTCATACAGCTTAAGGGAACTATACACATCAACAAGATGTAACAATCGTAAGTATTTATGCCCCAAACAACAGAGCATCTATGTACATCAAACAAACCCTGCTCAATTTCAAGAATCAAATAGACCACAACACAATCATACTGGGTAACTTTAACATACCCCTGTCACCACCAGGTAGATCCTCCAAACAAAAACTAATAAGGGGACTGGGGATATAGCTCAGTTGGTAGAGTGCTTGCCTTGCATGCACAAGGCCCTGGTTTCAATCCCCAGCACCATTTAAAAACAAATTTAATAAAGAAGCTATAGAAGGAAAAAATACGATTGATAAACTTAATAGACATATATAGAGTATGTTATCCATCAATGACTAAATACACTTTCTTCTCATAAGCACACGGATCTTTCTCTAATATGGACCATGTTATATAAGCTATCACATATGTTGGCAAACAATTGTAATATGACCTTAATATATTTTTAGCATCTATAGGGTTATTTTGATAGCTTCCTTTCCATTGATATCTTTGTGTTCTTGCTATTTTCTTGATTAGACTGGTTTTCTTATTATCAAATTTTAGTTATATTATTTCTTCTCTGTTTCATCTATTTCTGCTCCTACTCCTATTTACTCCTTCCTACTACACAATTTGAAAATAATTTGTTATTCTAGTTTCTTTCTGATATAAGTACTTTAAGTTATAAATGTTCATCTGAGTACTGTTTCATCCCAGAGATCCTGATAATTTTAGTTGTAGATGGACACAACACCTTCATTTATTTATTTATTTGGTGCTGAGGATCAACCCAGTGCCTTACACATGCTCGGCAACCACTCTACCACTGAGCTATAACCTCAGCCCCTCCTTTTTTTTTTTTTTGGTAGTGGGGATGAACTCAGGGGCACTCAACCACTGAGCCACATCCCAGCCCTATGTTTTTATATTTTATTTAGAGACAGGGTCTCACAAGTTGCTTAGTGCCTTGTCATTGCTGAGGCTGGCTTTGAACTCGCAATCCTCCTGCCTCAGCCTCCCGAGCCCCTGGGATTTACAGGTGTGCACACCACCACTCCTGGCAAGGTGATTAATTTCTAATGTAATAAATCATGCAGGAAACAATCTGTATTATTTCAAATTTAAAAAAAATAAATGGAAATGCTTTTTTATTGATTATATTGGTTACATACATGTCAAAACTGATCAAATTGCATACTTCAAATATGTGCATTTTATTGTACTTCAATTTTACCTCAATAAAGCTTTTGGGGGAAAAGTGTCATTAAACAGTCTACAAAAAGGATATCTGTTTACAGTATAATGGCTGAAACAAGACAGGAGAGCACCACCTCAATGGACATCAACTTGGGGATGTGCTTTACTCACCACTCTGTGTATGTCCAAGAATTATTGCCAAAGCCCTGTGAGGACTGACTTTGGGTATAACTTCTATCAGATACATAAATTTGCAAATATGAAATGTGGAAAAAATGAGGACTGATTACCTGTTCTGGAGAGGATGGTGGAGATGGTTATTCAACAACTTCAAGTATTTAATGCCACTGAATTGTACACTATAAAATGGTCACTATTGGGAATGCTACGCTACGCATATTTTACAACAATTAAAACAGTGTTTCCCATGATTGTTAATTTGTAGGTTTATATGTTCATTTTTCCCTGTACTGATAAAGTTTAATGCTTTTTAGTTGTATCTGTTATGAGAATATAAAGCTTTCTTTCACTCTGTTTCCTTACTCCCAAATCTGCTACTACTAATTTTGCTGTATTAATTTTTTTGGTCTATTGATTAATAAGTGTCCACCACTGCAGAAAGAAACTACTATTTGCTGAGATTTAATATAGTATTAAAGACAACACCCACAATGACTTGAAAGAGTATTAAGACCTTCCTCTATGCTTATCACAATAGTATGCACTTATAATCGCAGCAATTGGAGGCTGAGGCAGGAGGATTGCAAATTCAAGGTCAGCCTCAACAACCTAGTAAGACCTTCAACAATTCAGCAAGATCCTATCTCAAAACAAAACAACAATAACAAAAAATACTTGGGATGTAGTTCAGTGGTAAAAGCACTCCTGGGCTCTATCCCCAGTACCCTCCCTTTTCTTGCTACATACTTTTTCATACATTTCAATGAAAACAACATATCCAAATAGTTCACATGCAGAGCAGATACAAAAATCCAGAAAATCCTTCTGTTAAGCCAGACAATAAAGAGATTTGCAAAAAAAAACTTAAACAATGTTACTCTTCTCATAATCTGTTTTGGTAAAGTTGTTTTTCATTAAAATATATTATACATTAACATATGGCAGAATTGTTACCATATTTTAAGTTTCTTAGTGTTAACTTCTAATATAGTAAATATTAATAGGCTTTTGAGGAGTTCTCAATTTGGGGTTTTCAGGAGTTCTGAGAAAGCCTGAGAACAGATGTTCTAATCAATGGCATTTTGCACATGACCAGAGTGGAACACTAGGACAATTATGCAGCAGCACAGAAGACTACTAGGATAAAACAGGATCCAAGAGTATGACCAAAAGGATACAGAAGAAAACCTGCATATGAATAAGGAATATATTAAAAAAAATGAAAATAGTATTCAAAATATTATGACTCTGGGATTCCCTTCCCCTCTATTCTCCAAACTTTCTATCAAGCTATTAACATATTCTTCAACAAAAATTTTGTGACTAAAAGATATAACCAGGGACGGGGCTGTGGCTCAGTGACAGAGCACTTGCCTAGCATGCTTGAGGCAGAGTTCGATCCCCCGCACCACATAAAAAAGCTAAACAAATAAAATAAAGGTATTGTGTCCATCTACAACTAAAAACAAAAAAAAAAAATTTAAAGAAAAGATATAACCATTTGTATTAAATCTCAAGACATTTAATATATCCCAGAATCATGGTTTTATCATTTTTTTAGTTGTTTATGCACCTTTATTTATTTATATGCAGTGCTGAGAATCGAACCCACTGTCTTACACATGCTAGGCAGACGCTCTACCACTTAGCCACAACCCCAGACCAGCTTTATCATTTTTATAACTGAATTTAAGTCACAGAGTAAACAAGGTTCAAGACGTAACCCCACCCCTCTTCTCTCTCCACAACAGGACAGAAAAGTGGGAACAGGACACTTCCCCTGAAATGCTGAGGGCTGACAGCAATGGAACATAGCTGTGGAAGCACAAGAGAAGGTGGGAAGACAACAGTGAGAAAGCTGTGTCTATATTTTCTTAACAGAGAGAGAGAATGAGGAAAGGGCACATGGAGACAGTGTGGTCTGCCCAGCATTACTGGACGGGGCTCCAAACCTGGAGATTCAGGTGCAGACAAAGTGTGAGACCACTGGGCTAACCACAAGGTCAAGAGTCATACACAGTGACTGGGCTCATTAAACCACCAATAACCTCTAGCTCTTAGAAAGCTGGAAACTACTTCTGTGGAAATGGACAAGGCTCTGGGACTCACAATCACTGGCCAAGCAGCGGCCAGGAATGAGGCATGGAGACAGAAAATGAGCCTGACAGAATGCCACCAAGGGCTGGGACAACCAGATGCCCCACTCAGCCCCTGCTATGGAGAATAAAGGAGTCTAGAGAAACTGAACATTCCCATAGAAGAGACCTAAAGACACAGGTATCTGGAGTCCCCCATAAAAGTGGACAACCCTGAACAGGTGAGCACATCTCCTGTGCTGCAAACAGCTTCTGGGCAGTTTCTCAGGCCTGGCTTTAACACAGGCAGACAACTAGAGATACCATACTTCCAAAGAAAGTCTCTATGAAGAGAAAACAATGGAGGGAGCAAAAATCTACTTCATAAAACAAACAAAAAACCTTTTCCTATCCTCGGGAAGTCAACAGAAGAAATAGCATTCAGAGGGGCTGGGGATGTGGCTCAAGCGGTAGCATGCTCACCTGGCATGCGTGCGGCCCAGGTTCCATCCTCAGCACCACATACAAACAAAAGATGTTGTGTCCGCTGAAAAACTAAAAAATGAATATTAAAAAAAAATTCTCTCTCTCTTTAAAAAAAAAAAAAAGAAAAGAAATAGCATTCAGAGACCAGAATGGACAACAGAAAGAAACAATAAACAAATGAAAATAAGCAGAGAAATAGGAAAACACACACATACACACCAGAAAGTTTGGAAGATAAAATTAAATTCATCTCCCAGAAAGCAAAAATAGAGACAGAAAAAAGCTTTTTTTTTTTTTTTCTTTTTAAAGTTCAAGAGTCTCCATCTCATTGGCTGGGTCCAGTGGCACACACCTGTAATCCCAGCCACTCAGAAGGCTGAGGCAGGAGGAGTGCAAGCTCAAGGCCAGCCTGGACAACCAACCAAGACCTCTGTCTCAAAATAAAAAATAAAAAAGGCTGGGGATGTGGCTCAGTGGTAGAACACCCATGGTTTAACCCCCACTACCACCAGAAAAGAAAACAGACAATCCCTAAAACTGAAAAGACAAAATCTCCATATCGAAAGGGTCTAATGAGCACTAAAACAATGAATGAAGACCAACTCCATGGCACTTCACTGTGAAATTTCTATGAACCAGAGATAAACTTCCAGAAAAGAAAAATAAGTTACATCTCTTAAGCCACTTACATGGCTATACCCAATCTTTGCCTTCACTAATCTCTGAAGACCCTGTGAGCTCACTGTGGAACTGCCCAGCTCTCCAGACAAGCCCTCCTACCTCTCCCACTTGCTCAGTGCAGTCACTCCTTCCACCCAGTCTGAGCTCACTGAATTTGTGGTCCATTGACCCCAACAACTTCCTGTGGTCTGCCTCTCCCTTCCAGTTCCTACCTCTTCCTGAATCCCTCCAGTGTTCCCTAACAATGCCCAGCTCCTTCCTCCATTCCTCACTTCTGTGTGACACAGCCCCAACTCTGTAAATGTCCTGCCTGCAGCTGGGTAACTGACTGGCTGGAGAGTGAGTGCAGCTGTGCCCATCTTCCCACTTTAGTACTTTGTCACCAACCCCAGGGAAGCCTGAGGGCTGCCTGGCAATTTATAGCATTTCTCTACTCCATTTACTCCCCTGCTTGTCTGGTAATTATTTTAGCCTTCTCAGATCTATGTCCTCAATACTCAAACTCTTAGCTGATGATTTGGCTTTCCAGTTTACTAAAAAAATAGCTTAGCTCAGAAAAGAATTTGTAGAAGCTACCACAAGGAGCCCTTCACCTGCACCATAGCCAGTACACCTGCCTTCCTCTGGTGTCTACAGAAGGACAGCTCTGTTGCCCAAAGCTAATGACTCTACTGTCTCCTCACCCACTCCAGTGTCTTTCCCACAGCACTGTGTTTCCCCTTTCTGTTAGATTATTCCCATTATCAGACAAACATGTTGACATTTTGCCCATCTTCTAAAAAGTACCTTGACCTAACATCTTCCTCCAGCCACCAGCCCATATGCCTTGGAAAGAACTATCTTGCTGTCTCTGATTTCTACCCATTAGTTCTCTATTGAACTAAAATATTACATGATATGCAAGGGTACTGTGTAAGATATTTGAAAAATATGCTAGAACATTTGGACCAATCAACAGTAAACTTATAGAAACTAAAGAAGTTTTTTTAAAAAGCAACTAATCCTAGAAAAAATAAGAAATTGTGTAAGAAAAACTAATTGATCATAGCTGACACAAGTTTTAACATAGTCTTAAGCAGATAATCTAAATTTAACCAAATATATAATACTGCAGTACAGAATAAACCTTAAAACTGTGAAAAGTTGGCTAAAATCAAAACAGTAGATAGATATGATAGATGCTTTCATTACAAGGATAACAGGCAGCACTTTCATCTAAGGGCTAAATGAGATGAACTAAAAATTAAGAATTAAGGATTATCTGGGGGGGGGGGGGTCTCCAAACAACCATTTTATCTAAAGGCCTCATTTAAAACAGTTTTAACATACATATTAGAATCTTTGTTATAATACATTTTTAATAGTTTTCAACAAGTATCTTTTTTGTTGACAATATTCTTGTGACTTAAATACATGATATAAATTATCCCCACTGTCTCCTTTCAGGGAATTCCTTCCACTATGTAACTCTATTGTATTTCTTTTTCCACCCAAGCACAGCATTAAAACTGTTTCAGTGTAATATCCTTTTTCTTCTACTGACTCCAAGTAAGTCCTGGAATCATCAACATCATTTCCTGCAACTCTTTAGAGATCTTAATTACTTCAAAATAGGCAAGATACGTGACATTCCCATCAAAGGACTAGAAGTTTTAGGTCTCTTTCTATTTATTAGAACCAATGTTCTAATAACAATTCACTTAATTTTTAGCCATGTAACCCAGCAATGTCATTAATGGATAACTACCCAAAAGAAATTAAAACTCATATTCACACAGAAACTTAACCAGGAATGTCTAGAGTGGCTTGACTCATAATTGCCAATGCTGGAAACAACTCAAATGTACCTCAGTGGGGGAACAGATATAAACTGTGGTCCCATCACACAATGGAATTCTTGGTAGAGAAGAAAGAACTATCAATATATGCAATAATTTGTATGAATCTCAAAAGCATGATGCTGAGAATCTGTATAATCTCCTCTTCCTTCACACTCCTGACTATTTTTGTTTGTTTGTTCTTTGAGGTACTGGGGATTGAATCCAGGGCTCTGCACATGCTAGACAAGTGTTCTACTATTGAGCTACATCCCTTTTACTTTACATTCTTTAAAAAAAAAAAACAACATGCCACACTTGGAATTGTGAACACACAGGTGGTTACAGGAGGTGATGGTAGGGGAGAGAGACTGTGGGAGACCAACCTTGCAAGTGACTGAGTCACACTCCCTGGCTGGGTACTGAGGCGCTCAGTCACAGAAATGTAGCAGAGCTTTCCCCACCCTTTTGGGGTTCCAGGGTTGGTGTCTCCATGCATGGGTGTGACTTGCTACAGCCCCAGGGGTGAAGCTACACTCACCTGTTTCTTTGTAATATAACCCCTTGCCCTGCTTAGGATAGAATCTTCCATGGAAGTGCCTTGTGTGTGTCCCCTTCTCTTACTGTGCCTTTGGGTGTGGCCTATCCAGGTGTCAGTCAACCTGCTGACAGTGGACATCATGAAGATAGACTCAGCCCCCTGAAACCTGACCCCATGCCTCATTTGAATAGCTTCTCCTCAATAAAAGGGGTCAGCGGGTCGCGCACGCGCTGTCTCTCGTTCTCTCTCTCTTTCTCTCTCTCGCTCTCTCCCTGTGGACCCTTAAGGTATTTGTGTTTCTAGTGTGGTTATTTTGCGCAGCCCAGTTAGCCCAGTTCAACTGGAGTGACCCCTGAGCCTTTTAGCTGGGAGAACTGAAACCCAGCAAGAGACAATAAAGGGAGAGTTTGAGAAGTTTTTTTTGAGTAATGGTGAGTAATGGGGATTGTTCCACATCCTGACTATGGTAGTGGAACATGAATCTAAAATTCAAAGAACTGAAAACAAAAAAAAAAAAAAAAAAAATTTTTTTTAAACAAACTTGGTGTTATTTTATTTGGATCTTTATTTTGTTCATTTATATGAGGTACTGAGAATTGAACCCAGCGCCTCAGACATGCTAGGCAAGTGTTTTACCACTGAGCCACAACCCCAGCCCTGAAAAACAAAATTTTAAAAGTCATATAATTTAAAAAAATAGGGGCTGGGGATTGTAGCTCAGTGAGAGTTCTCATTTAGCATGTGTGAGGCACTGGGCTCGATCCTTAGCACCATATAAAAATAAATAAAAGTATTGTATCCACCTACAACTAAATAATAAAAATAAAAAAAGAGAATGGTTGTTTAAAAAAATAATATAAGCTTGCTTTATTTTGATGTTCCAGATGAATGTGAGTTCAAAAGATGCCCAAGTACAAGATGTTATATAACTATTGCACCTTCCCACATATTCACAATAGCTAGAAGAGAACATCCTATTTGCAAGAACAACAAAAATTACAAAACAGCCAAATGCAGTTACAAAAGCCTGTAATCCCAGCAATTCTGGAGGCTGAGGAAGGAGGAATGGAAGTTCAAGGCCAGCCTCGTTAACTTAGCAAGATCCTGTCTCAACACAAAAGATTTAAAAAAGGTGGGGACATAGCTCAGTGGCAGAGCACTCTGGGTTCTGTCCCTAGAACCCCAAACAAAATAAAAAACACTGGAACAAACTTAACAAGAATTATATAAAACCTAAAGAAAAAAAGATATGAAAACAAAAATCAAGACACACTTGACATTTCTGGATAAAAAATCTGGTATCATTAAAATATCAAATTTTTGAGCTGGGGGTGTAGCTCAGTGGTAGAATGCTGGCCTAGCATGCACAGAGCCCTGAATTTGACTGCAAAAACAAACAAAATATCATATTTCCCCCCCAAAATTTTAAATCTAACTTAATTTCATCCAAAGTAATCTAATCAAAATTCTGGCAAGTCTATTTTTAGAACGTGGCAACAAGATTCTAAACTTCATCTAGTAGTGTAAATAACAAAAAGAAAAATTTGAGAAATAAGAATAATCAACAGGGGACTTGACCTACTCCAAAACATCAAAATATACTTTCAAAGCTGCAGTGATAAAAACACCATGGTATGTTAGAAAACTAATATCTAGACTCTGATGTTCTGTTATAGCAGAAAAAATGGACCAAGACAACCAGACAAAAGTGATTTATAAGAGCTCTTAACAAAAGTACACAGTTATGTTAAAGAATGTTCACTGCAATTGTGTTTATGGCAAAAACATGAGAAATAACCCCCAGCTCACTGTGGTTCACCCACACGGTGGAAGACTATGCAGCCTTTAACCAAGTGTGAGATCTGTAAGTAACATACCCTGGACCTGTGTCTGGTCCAGATAATGTAAAAATATTATTATTATGTCCCATATGACTGCTTTTTTATTAAAATAAACAAAGAATTAACATATATATATATATATATATATATATATATATATATATATATATATATATAAATAAAACTATGGGAATATACACCAAACCTCTGTCTATAAGTGATTCTCTTGGAAATTTCAAAGAACTTTCACTTTCTATATAATGAATTTCTACAATGTTTACATATTATATGATTCTGGCTCATACCTACAATAGGGGTAAGAAAACAAGAATAAAATGACTTTGTTCAAAGATTAAAAAAAAAAAAACAAGGATATTTTAAAATTAAACCATCATGGTAGTAATATTTAATTATTTTTGGAGACAGAACCTTCTAAAAGTAAATATGGGGCATGGGGCAGCGGTGGTGGAGGGGGTGTCTGTCTGTCTCAGTACTCTCCTGGCTTACCATCTGTGCCACACAGAAAAACTGTAGTAATCATTTGCGATTGGTGGGAACTAAACCAGAAGTTTGTCCCTTATCTCAAGAAAGCTTTGATCAAGGAGAGCAGGGACAGCTCCAGTCCACTCATTTTTTTTTTTTTTTTACAGATTCCAAAAGCAGTCTAGGCAGCTTAACAAGGAATATTAACCAAAAATCCAAATGAATTTATTTTGTCATTGAGACAACTTACTGACAGAATGACTGGCCCAGGGTTCCTGCTCTAACAGCCCCAGGCCTGGTATGCAGCAGACATTAGAGTCAGGACATTTTTGTCACATGGTCAGCCAATGGGAGATCATTTCTCTCAGAAGCTTCCTTCAGTAGTATTATAGTAATTTAACAATATTTATTAAGTACATAACTGGCACCAAGCACTCTGCTATATACTGTAATCTACCCTTACAGACTCTAGTGGAGACAAGTAAGCCAATTTCAATACAATATAAACTGTGTCATATAAGGGAAGTGTCAGTATCTTTAATAATCCCATGGATTCAATCTCCAGTACCAAAACCAAAAAACCCCAGATATTAAGTAGACAGTTTCTTCTATTATTCAACTTTATTATGGTACAAAGTGACACACATTCACTAGAAACTGTACTTGGGATTTTGAGTTGCCTGGGGGGAAGAAGACTGCCAACGAATATTTCACAGAAGTGATCACCACACAGAAGGGTGAAGAGTACTTCAGACACCAACATCAGGTGCAAAGATGCAAGGAGTGTGCTGAAGCAGCAAAAATAGGCTCTGATCACAAAAGACTATGGAGTTAATTCCATAGTTTTAATGGATGTACTTTTGATAAGAAACACAGCTGAGTAAAAAGCCAATATCACAAAAGCTAGAAAAGTGTGTGTCTTCCTAAACAGAAACTTATCAGTCATGGGATACCAGAAATACTCAGCTAAGAAAACCTATGGGAATAAATCTGTAAATAAAAACAATTCTATTGATTTCCAAGTACCATTAGCTCACATTTAAATGCATGCATAAAGTTTTGTCCAATTTTTGTGGTAGCAGACATTTCTATTGAAAAAGACCAAAACACTACTCTTTTTAAAAATGTATTTCTTTTAGTTATTGATTCACATGCAGTGCTGAGAACTGAACCCAGTGCCTCATACATGCTGGGCAAGCACTCTACCACTGAGCCACAACCCCAGTCCCAATACAACTTATTTTTAAAGGTAAAGATTATTCACTCAATATTAATATTTACAACCTTAAATAAATGTAAATGGAAACAGGAAAGTAAAAAGACTCCTAGACAATTAACACATTTTATGTTCTTTTAAAAGAAGTTTAATTAACTTAGAAATAATCGTAAATACATACGTTCTCTTCCTTTTTCTCCCACATGGAAATAAACAAAATAAGTGGTCATAACAGAAATAGGCACAATTCATATTTATTTACCTCTCTGCCTGTAAGGATGTGTCGTGCCAATTTCACTTTAGCAAAGTTCCCCTTGCCGATCGTTTTCAACAGTCTGTAGTTTCCGATGTGAGGCTGCTCATCCGCACAGGAAGCTATGGAGTTTCTACACCGAGCTCCAGAGCGCCCAGTGCGGGAGGTGACTTCTTGTCGCCCATCTCCATGTGAGGTGTGCTACAATGCAACATACACAAAGACAAGGAAATGAGGGAACACTTAGTGCCTGCCAAGTTTTAAGGGCTCCTAGCTGAATAAACAAAACATTACTGCTTTAATTTTAATCCTAAGGTATCTAGCACTTCAAAGAAATTTAACCACATAATATATACATTTATGAAAAACCAAGAAAATATTATAAGAAAAATACAGTGTTGCAATTCAATTGGGGGTTCCAAAAAGATATTACAGCCTGGGGTGGTGGCACATGCCTGTAATCCCAGTGGTTTGAGAGGGTGAGAGAGGAGAATCATAAATTCAAGGCCAGCCTCAGCAATTTATTGAGGTTTTAAGCACCGTACTGAGATCCTATCTCAAAATAACAAATAAAAACGGATGGGGATGTGGCTCAGTGATTAAGTACCCCGAGTTCAATCCCTGGTATCAAAAAATATGTATATACATAACATATATACACACACACACATATATATATATATAGACAGTTTCTGATCTATGATTCAACTTTACCATGGTACAAAGTGATACACATTCAGTAGAATCTATACTTGGAATTTTGAATTGAGAGCTTTCCCTGGGATAGTGCAAGCAGCATGAACTCTCACAAGAGCGCTCCCCAGTCCCCCTGGCAATCATGGGAATAAACAAGATTGCAGTGTATTATACTGTCAGCATTTTGGGAATGCAGGTATTCAATAAATTACATGATATATTCAACACTTTATTATAGAACAGCCTTGTGTTAGATGATTTTGGCAAACTACAGAATAATATAAATATACTGAGGACATTTAAGGTAAACTAAACTAAGCGATGACATTTGCTAGGTTAGGAGTATTAAGTGCACTCTGACTTAACGGTATTTTCAGTATTAATTCTTAATGGTATTAAGATGGACTTATTAGGATATAACACCACTATATATTGAAGAGCATCTGTATTTTGAATATGTGGCCATCACATAAAATAGGAGTAACGGGACTGCCTTCTGGTCACCCAGAGTTTTTAACTCTTCTACATGCTAGCAATAGCACTTGCACATCTGATACTCACACCACAGGCCATAAAGCAGCAAAACCTAATGCCACCATTCACCGTTCATCAGATGAGATTAAGGCCATATAACAGTTCAGTGAAAAATTCAAGGGGAGTCTAGATTCCCAAATTCTTTCTACACGATGCTAACAATAATTTATTCCATATTTTGTTTTAATATTAGTTCTTAAAAACTTTGCTCATTACAATGTACCAATAAAAATAGGAAGAAAAAACTTTGTTCATATTTAGAAGAGCCACAGATCATAATCAGGAAACAAATTAAAATTTTACTTAAGTATATCTATTTTAAAAATATTTTTAAAATAATCAATATGGTCCCCAAATTGTTTTACCTTTGTTCATATGGGACAGAGAACCAACCTGAATTTGAAAAGACTAAGTACCCTCCTACATGAGAAGAAATCAGGTCTCCAAATTTAAAACAACTTTATATTTCAATCCTTCCTTAGTCTCTTCCCTAAAATAGAACATATGTGTGTGTGTGTGTGTGTGTGTGTGTATGTATATATATATATATATATATATATATAGTCCTTTCTATAATCCTTAAAATAACAAGCCATCTCCTTAATACAGGACAGGTTTCTTTTTTTTTTAAGTATTTTTTTTTTAGTTGTAGATGGACACAACTAATTTATTTTTGTGTGGTACTGAGGAGCGAACTCAGTGCTTCCACACAAGCAAGGCAAGCACTCTACCACTGAGCTACAGCCCCAGCCAAGGACAGGTTTTTTGAATGTGATAAAACCAAACTATAACAAGTGGACCTCCTCCAAGTATTTCATACTTCAGAGATATTAAAAAAGTTAAATTTCACTTTTGAAAAAGCCAGGCAATTATTCCATGCACTTGTAGACTAAATGATGTGATTAAAAAAATAAACTCTTATCCACCTAGGGGTAGAATGGAATTTCCTTAATTTGACAAAAATCATAGATCAAAGACACTTTGAGCAAATATTACACTAAATGGAAAATTTCATAATCATTTCTTTTAAGAAACAAGATAAGGGGGATGGGGCTGTACCTCAGTAATAGCGTACTTGCCTCACATGTTTGAGGCACTGGATTTGATCCTCAGCACCACGTTAAAAAAATAGACATAAAAAGATATGGCGTCCATTTATAACTGAAAAAAATATTTTTAAAAAGAAAGCAAGAAAGAAACAAGATAAGGTTGCCCATTATCATTACAGGTTAAGCATCTCAAATCCAAAAATTAAAGTCTGAGAAATGGGATACTCAGAAAATTTCAGATTTCTGAGTATTTTGGATTTAGTATGTTTGGGTTGGGGGATATTTCGTTGGTAAAGTCTATGCAAATATTTCAAAATCTTAAAAACTCTGAAATACATTTCAGATAAGGGCTACTCAATCTATATTACTACTATTTAACATAATATTAGAGGTCAAGGCCAATGCTTTAAGGTAAGAAAAAAATTGTAATGAGACATAAGAATTGCCATGGAAGAACTATAACTATCATTTCTGTCCTTTTTTGATAGTTTTTCTGTAAATTTAAAATTATTTCAAAGTCAAAAGTTCAACAGAAGCAGGGTGTGGTGGTACACATCTGTAATCCCAAGGACTAGGTAGGCTAAGGCAGAAGAAATCAAAAGTTGAAGGCTAGACTCAGCAATTTAGCAAGCCCTGTCTCAAAATAAAAAATAAAAAGGGCTGGGGATGTAGTTCAGTGGTAGAGTGCTTGCCTAGCAGATGTGAAGCACTGGGTTCGATCCTTATCACACATATAAATAAATATAATAAAGATTCATTGGCAACTAAAAAAAATTTTTTTAAAAAGATACAACAAAGGGGAAGCCCTATTAAAAATAAAAGCCTCTAAGAACATGACTAAGAAATGGGACCTGTCCCAGAAGTTCAGTCAAATCACTTTCTTTCTTCTTTGGTGCTGGGGACCCAAATCCTTTACATGTGCTAAGTAAGCACTGTGCCACTGAGTTATAACCACCAGTTTCACTTTTTTTAAAATTTTTTATTTAAAAAAAATTTTTTTAAGCTATAGATGGTCACAATGCCTTTATTTTATTTATTTGTTTATTTTTTTATGTGGTGCTGAGGATTGAACCCAGTGCCTCATACAAATGAGTGCTCTACCACTGAGCCACAACCCCAGGCCCAGTTTCACTTTTAAAAGAATAATTGTTACTGATATAGCAAGTGAACTAAAGTGTAAAGAAATTTACTTGTCTAATCCTCAGAAGAACTATAAGGCGCAATGAATTGACCATATGTTAGGGACCTATTAAGTGCCAGGCACTACCACGAGATGAAAACAGAAAAGTATGGTGCCAAGGCTTCAAGGCACTGGCAGTCACAGTGGGGCACTAACAAGGGGTTATGTAACCGAAGGTGGGGCAAACTCTGCCCCATGAGAAAATCTGAGTAAATATAATTAAAGCTGTCCAATAGGCATATAAAGTAAATCAAACACATATAATTTTTAATTTTGTATTTGGCCACATTAAAAAAACAAAAAATAGGTTAAATATATTTTTCTCAACCCAATACATCCCCAAATATTTCAACACATAATATAAAATATACGTAAGTTTTACATACACAAACACATATTTTTAAAAATAATACTGTCTTTGAAATCTGTGTTTCATGCTTACAGAATGCCATAATTCAGACTGGCCACATTTCAAGTGCTCAATAGTCATATGTGACTAAGGGTTACTGTGTTGAATAAAGTAGCTTTAAGCACCGAGAGGAATGATCACATATAGAAGAGGACTGATCACATGTAGGTGAGATGGAAAAAATAAGGTATCCTAGAAGTGAGGGGATGAAGTCTTGGAATGACAAGCAGAAGAGTTTTAACAGGAGGTGAGTAGTTCCAGGCCAGACACCAGCACAAGAAAAGGTAACAGACAGTTTGAAGAGAAGAGGCAAGACTTCCCCAGCATGACTCCCACCACGAACCAAATTTACCATCAACTTCTCAAGAAGCCTATCAATGTCACTTTTTATTTATAACACTTGACAGTAAAAATTCAAAGACAAGAATTGACATATATAAATATCTAAACCACTTATGGTTAAAGATCATGGTCACATGTAGTTCTTCTCTTTCTCCAACTTTATTAAAATGACAGTTCTAAAAAATTAAGGCCTAAGACAAAGAACAGAATGACAAAATATTCTTTTAGAAACTAGAAAACAGAAAGAAAATGCCTTAACACATAAAATAAAGGTGAATTCTTAGCCAGTTGTGGAGGTAAGGGGAAATGCTGCTCTGTACCACACAACCCCCAAGACCCTAAGGAACTGGCAGCACCTACTGCCTCTGCTAGTGAGAGGGAAGGCAAGGCAGAAACAGGACAAGGTGCCACTCTTGAATGACATCCCTAGATCTCCTCTCCTACTCTGGAAACAAAACTGGAGGTTCCCCAGAAAGGGCAAAATGGAAGGTCTAATGTACTTGGTCACAAGCACAAGTGAGGACAAAGGTACTAAAAACAGAAAAGAAATCAGAAAGCCAGAGACCTTTCCTCTTGCCTTCTTCCATGGCTCAGCTCCTTGGAACATGGTTAGCGAGGCATAAATCTATAGTGGAATCTGAGATAGGACAAAATATATATATATATATATATATATATATATATATATATATAGAACAGGAGTTCCCCAGAGGAACTCCTCTCTAAGGCCCAGCTTGTAAAACCCACTAAATGCACAGAACCTTCAATCAGTCTTTTAATGTCTCAGCCTTAAATATGGGCAGAAAAATAAGACTCAAAATGGCACTAGACCACTTAAAGCTCAAAGAATAAGCTTTAAGACAAAATTCTGAGAAAAAAGGCTACTCAGTCTAGAATTCTATAGGTAACCACAGTATCAATCAAAAGTGAAAACAGAATAAAGATGTTTTCAGAAATGCAAGGATTTTAAAAATGTATTTCCCAGCAACTT